TTTGAATCGTCTTGGATTTTTTTCTAGAAATGTAGAAGATAGAATCTATCTTCAGATAAAAAGAAAATTTTATTTAAATAATTGATTCACACAATTTGCGACAAATAACAATTAATCCCACCATAGGATCTCATACAAATCTTGTGTACATGAATCAAGAATAAAACAAAAAACGATTAATAACATGAAAATATTATTCTATTAAATAATCAAAATGAGTGTAAAATAAATTCACGATTGGAATCGCAACAACCGAATGGAAACGAGTTGAGGAATACAACTACGTAGTTTCCTTAAGATATATTTTCGGTCACTTCTATGGTGCTTGAGATCATTGACCGTCTGTCTCCCAAGATACAATAACTAGATGATCAGCTACAGTCGCACTTCTGTAGAGATCACGAAATATTCTCTTGCCTTCATCTATCACTAAAAACTAGATAAAGAAATTATTTTGAATTATTTTTTAGTTGGTTTGAATTGTGTTTAACTTAGTATGTTTACACAGTATTTATAGGGATTTCACACTATGAACAATTGGAAATTTTTTATCTAATGAAACATTAATGAGAATCAAGCAACCAAACAATTTCCAAAATTATTGTTTTGATTAAAGGAATCTTTTAATATTTATCCTTTTAAATCCAAAACAAATTTTGAAAAAATGTGCTCTATTTGAGGAAAATATTTCATATTTTGGTTAGAATATCCACAAGCTCACAAAGAGTCTGATCAGTTCAGATATTCATGTTACTCACATCGTGCACGTCTGCACATATACGAACCAACAATTAGTTTCACATTTTCCTCAACAATGTTTGGATCAATTTCTCATTCAAAGCTCCAAAATTATTGAATTTTTCCAATACTTATTTAATCTAAAGTGACTAATTTTAGTGATATAGAAAAATATACAAATTATGTATTCAGTTATGATGATAATTGTAAACCGTTATTAAAATTTTGATATTTCTACTTTTTAATGAGACTACATATTTCTATAAAAAAAATTATATTAAATTAAAATTTGATATATGCATCTAATCAATCTCCATACATAATTTTTTAATTAGAAAATTCCATCGATTTTTTGTGTAACACCTTTATTCGTATTCAATTCTTAAATTCAAGTCAGAATGTCACATGCTAAATTACTAACATTCACTAGCAATCATTTATCAAAATATTACTTATTATCATATATTTTAATTTAGGTTTAATCACCATTAAATAATTAATCAATTTATCGCATAAAATCACTTTCTAAAACTTTTTTAACATCCAAACTAAATTTGATTTCAGACAACAACCTAAAAGTTCACAACTATAACCTATAAAAAAACATATAACCGCCTAAATTCAACCATAATCGGTTTTTCTATTTTTATTATATTGTTTACCGGATATTATACCTGTAATTTATTTAACCAATTTCAACACTAATATAACTATGTACCATTCATTTTAATAACATAAACTAGTTTATAAACTATTACAACTAAGTCTAAACTAGTTTATGACCACCCATTATTAGCATATACATGCTAATTAATAAAATCAAAATACATCAGATAGATATCATTACTGATATTATAGATATACTCTTCGATAGATAAGATGCCAAGTACTCCTTACTATGATTCATGCTATTTACTTATGTGTGAAAATCACTACACGCTAAATATAGATTTAGGGTCGGTTTGTTTCACGGAAAATGTTTTTTGAAAAACTTTTTCCTCATTTTCCGTTGTTTGGTTCACAGAAAACATGTAGGTCAATGTAAAACAATTTTCTTGTCAACAAAATTCTTGTATTTTCTAAAAAATGACTTATGATTTAATTTTTCGTAAGTCATTTTCTGAACTTTTCACTTCAAAGCATAAATATTCAAAATAATATTATTTTATGTATTTAATATTGATATATTATTTTAATATCATTTTAATAAAAATATTAGTTATTAAAATATTTAAAATATATTAATTAATGTTTTTAATATCATAATAATATACTCAATTATATTATAATAATATATAATATTATAGTCTTATTTTGATAATATATAATAAAGTATAAATAAATTTATGTTATTTATTAATTTTATAAAAGAAATGTTATTTAACTATTAATAATGAATAATATTATTTATGTATTTAATATTAATATAATAATCTAGTAATATTTTAATAAAATATTTCAAATGTGTTTATTAATAATTTAAGAAAATAATATAATATTTTTATTTTAATAGAATATACTAATTTTAATATTTTTATTTATAAATTTGTAAAAATAATATTTTAATAATAATGTTGACATAAGTAATATTGAATATATTATTATAATATTTTAAAAATAATAATAATAAATTTTATAATAAATAATATCTATTATTATATTTGATATTTTTTAATAAATAATTTTAAAAAATTATTAACTAATGGAAAATGGTTTACACAACATCTCCCAAAAACTATAAAAACATGTAATTATTTTACAAAAAACGTTTTTCGAAAAATATTTTCAGTTAAACAAATAGACACTTAGTGAGACATCATAGTAGTAGTCAATGTAATACAAACATAAATAAATAAAATAACAATACCAAATGCATCATGATCACTTTACTTGTATTTCAATCATGTTATCATATATTAACCTAATATACGCCATATATAAAATTTATTACTAATATACTTGTCATTCATTCCAAAACCTCATAAGCTTATTCATTTGTTTATCATTTATTAACCAATAAACCATAGCCCAAATATAAGCATATGGGAACCCTGCGTATACGAGTCAAAATATGCTTCGAATTACTAATACACATAAGGTCGTGTCCAACATAATAAACATAAGGTCGTGCCCACCATATGCACTAAGTTTCCTTTATATACACTATAATGCTAAATCAAATATGTAGCATGCTGCTAGACTCTGTGGCATACCAACTATACCACTGTCCCTCAATGTCATACTTAGGCATATAGTTTATATTTATTTCATCCATGATAATGTATATCGATATACTTCAACAATGGATAGTTCATACCTGAAATAACATTTACGATATAACATCATATATAAACTAGTGATCAATGCATTTATATTAACTTTTGACATCTTTAAAACATGTCAAATATATAATAAATGACATAAATATCTTACAAATATAAATAAGGTAGACTGGTCGCAAGTCTTTCTAATGATGTATAAAACATACATGTATCATGTTATATATGCATTACACTGACCTTGACACTTTTTATACAAGTCAAAATACAAGTCTCACTAAACTTTAAGCTCGATCCTTTTCCTTTCCTTTGTTGCTAGTTTGATCTCGGTTTTGATTGATGTCTATAAATACATCAAATATATAATACGAATAATCAAAAGAACATGTTAGTATCCATCCAACCCATGAGCATATAGTGTAGGGAAAATTCATAAAATTCATTCTAATGCAACGTTATAATTACGACATTTCTTACACTTCATTTACACCTTAATGTGCTTGAATTTACCTTTAAAACTACAATTTTACCTTAAGTCCTTATTTCACTTTTAGGCTTTAAAGACTAATCAAAGCAATTTCACACTTCAAGTCTAAATCCAATGATTTAATCACCAAGTCAATCCTTGAAATATAACAAATATCATAAATAAATCATTTGGATTTTTCCGTAAATTTTTCCTTAAGAAATCCATATGATTGAATATAATCCATCATCATCTAAGGTGACTTCAAGCTCCAAACAACACACTTAAGCATGTATTGAATTTTCTACAATAGCCTTCATCAATTTAAAGTTTAAAATATAATTCTTAAACTTTTTCTAAAGTGTCATTTTTGTCACTATTAGAATTCATTATACATCTAGAAAACTACTCAATTTTTACGTTTATTCATTATACATCTACACATGTACATACCATTCATAAATTCACTTTTCAAACAAAATATGAAATATTTCTGTACTATATATCTACAATTTTTTAAAGTAGTAATTGTGGTGATCACTACGTCATAAAAAATAAACACGAATTAGCCTCTTTCCGTCTACGCCCATTGAACGTTCTTTCGGTCATCGTTACTTCACCCAAAATATTGAAGAGTTTTTTTTCCCCACTATTGTTGAATCATTCATCACCAACCTACATAAAATAATACTAACGATATATGCTTGTGGAAGTGAAGCAAGAAATGAATTATTAATTAATTAAATCACCACTGTGATTACTTCACATTATTGTACTAATTATAGAAATAAAAATATTGTAGCTTGTAATTAGGGATGACAACGAATCAAATTCAATCGAGTTTCAGGTGAATTCAACCCAATCCAAAAAATATGTTTTTTTCACTCGAATTTGACATGACCTAAAAATTATGTGTTCTCCACCTTACCTGACTTGAAAGTATATATCCTTCACCCAATTCTAATCCGAGTCAAATTTTTAGAGTACGAATCCGATCTAATATAAAATAAGAACTTAATTTAAAATAATAATATTTTAAAAAAAATTACATTATTATCACTGGATCATATCGGAATTTTTTCATCTTCTATCCTACCCAATCTCACTCCTTTAAAATTACGACCCTACTTGAAGTCATTTTTTTTAAATCTGACCCGACATCGGATAAAAAATGGTTCTTGCACCCAAAACATAAGAGTTAAGTTTGGTTAAAAAGTCAATCGAGTTTTATATATCATTTGATAATATTAATATAATTATTTAAAAATGAGACTAAATTTCTAGAATAAGGCAATAGATTCAAATACCCTAATATTTTTACAAAAATACTTGTCACTGCTTATAAAGGATAGGGTATCAAATAATTATCCATATAATATATTATATTATATTATATTATATATGATAAAGAATTCGTTTTTACATGACAATATCATTAAAGACCATATGTGTGATCCAAGTATATAAATGTGCAGCACACTTTAATGCAGGAAAATGAGGACTTGGGCTAGTAAATGTTATTTTTCTTAATCTTCAAAGTTCCGACATCTTCATATCATACGCGAAAACAACAAAACCGAACTCGATAGGTGAAGGTCTGAACCTTAAACGTTCAACTCTTCGATTCCGGGACCTAAAGGTTCAAAGACTGCCTCTACTTCCTTTTGGTCAACTTCATCCAAGCTCGGAGGGTTCCACTTCGGATTCTGCAAACATACGTGAGTCGCCACTATAAACCACAAATGTGTGTGTGCTATATACTCAGAATTTAATCCAGTTGCTTTTCGCAACCACAAAGGTGCAACGGTAAATAACTTCTATATTGGAGACAAAAGAAGCAAAAAGCAAAATGAGCGAACCTGATCCTTGTCAATCAAGATTGCACGGACACCTTCAGCAAAATCATTACGCAGAGAAGACCATATGGCAACGCGGTATTCAGTCTTCATGACACCTTTTAGCTAGACAATCAATGCAACGTAAATACAGATGTTTCTGAAATGTATTGCTACTCGAGAAGAACTTGGAAAGGAAACAAAAGAGAAATGCACGAGGAAGGCAGCTGAATCAAACATCTCCAAACTCACCGTCGTAAATTCGTTGTTCTGTTTACCACATCCGGATGCAACTCTAGAGAAATAATTGTGTGTTAAGCAAATAGAAAAGGGAGCGCCCTTCCCAAGACCCTGCAGAGCTTCATTTGCCCACTCAACCACTGCATAATGAATAGAAATTAACATATTGACATCGATAGTTTCAGCATCATTCAACATCCACAATAAAAAAAGGAAGAAATAAATTCCAAGTAGGACAATAATGATGCATATGCACTATGCACATTCAATTAAGGTTACCTGAAGCTTCTGTACTTTGCTGATGGTTTTTTAAGCTCTTCAACTATCTCCTTAACCGACTTATTGGCACCAAAGCATGAAGTTATCTGAGGCAAAAGTGACTTCAAGTGAGCTTCTGACTCGGTGGTGCTGCTGTATTTTGCCAACAGTGTCGTAACATCCTTATGTAGATCCTCCGAACTGTGTGAAAAATATACATAGTCATATATGAGAATGCAGTGATGCTAAAAAAACCGTGAATATTTTGTGCTGCTAATTGAACTACTACATGTGCAAGTTGTTGAACAGAAAGAAGTACAAAACTATTGTATCAGAAAATGGGAGGCTATGAATTGCAAACTACAAGATGAAGTACAACGAAACCAATAAGGTGAAGAATCGAAGTTCATATTTCATGGATTTCAGCCTAACATGAACATCAAGCCATGGTGTAGAATTCATGCTTTTCAAAAAGCAGATTTTGATTTGGAATTAGAAATACCTTTCCCTCCTATTTTGATTTGGAATTAGAAATACCTTTCCCTCCTATTTTAGAGAAACAATTATAAGTTGTCACAATTTATCAGTTGGTAAGCAACTAGAAAGAGAAAGTACACAATCCAAAACACGTTCATTTCCACTAAAAGAGGAAGCCAAACTAGAAAGAATATCAGAGATATACAAGGTGCTGGCTAGAAGGGCTTCCTTTAGTGAACCAAGATTCCCAGATGACACATAGTGCGTTCCAAGACCAACAAATAACGCATCTGAAGGCGTTGATATCCTTTTCCCAGTCATTCCAAGATAAGCACCTGCAGAACTATGGAATTGTAAATGAAAATAAAGAAATACAACATAGAGTGAGCAGAAGAGAGCAAGAGAATTAAACCGCTATTTGTGCATATAGGCACTAAACATGTGCATATATAAATTTATCTTTAGGGATTTAGCAACAAAAAAAAGTTCTTAAAGCAATTAAAATATTAGAAATAACCCTCTGATTTCAACGCCAGTGCTTCCGGTTTAATTATTGGCATCCTATTAAAAATCGTTTTTGCAACTCTTGGAGCTTCTCATAGAGTAAAAGAAACATACCAACAGAACCCCCTCCCGGAGTTTGTGCTGCTATATATGAAAAGCCAACGTCAGGAAATAATCCAATTCCATTTTCTGGCATAGCAAGAACAGTCCTCTGACCCAAATGTGTACCAGAGTAAAATGTTAGATAAAGAAATTGAGAAAGATGTTATAAGTGAAATGCAAGACGATATTTCTCCACACAGCAAGGGGATTAGTTTGCACCTCAGTTATCACTCTGTAGCAACCATGGCCAGATAGGCCAATTCCAAAGCCCATTGTTATGCCATCCATGAATGATATATAAGGTTTCTTGTACTCCGAAATTTTGCATATTAGAGAATATTCTGCCGCGTAGACCTGAAAAATAATAATAAGAAGGTTATTAACTTCAAATGACTCGGCATATGCAACACACGGAGCGATGGAGCAGTTATGAGAAACAACATAGCATAAGCAGATGACTCCATACTAAGGAATGATATATATATAATAAAAAAAAAGACATTATGAACATATGATGAATCATCCAAACTATAAGCTGGTCATGGCTGGCTAGAACAAAAACAACTTATATCTCGCAACCGTGGATATAACAAGACCTTACAAAAACAAAAACAGTAAAGTTTGCAGGAAACATGCACAGATGGAAGGAAAGCAAAAACCTTGGGAACAAGAGGTGTGTTTCTGTCTTTTTGGATTTCAGCAACAACGCCTTTAATATCCATTCCTGCATTAATCGTGAATGGTTAGACCCAAAAACTCAGTTTAACACTGAAACATTAATAATAGCCTACAAGGATATCATTACACATTTTTCATTAGAAACTTCAACTTGAAATGCTATTTAAAAGTATCTTTGTCCAGCCAAAGAAGAAGACTTAATATTTCTCCAAGTACCTGCACAAAAGGCACGCGGTGAGCTGCCCTCGACCAGCACACATTTGACCTTAGGATCCGATTCCCATTCTTCAAGAATTTGTTTGTACTTGATATCCATATCTGCATTTATCAAAATGAACACATATCTCACCAACAAAACTGATCCACGATTCGAATCTAGAATGCAAAGAAAATGTCACGAGATAACAAAATTACACTAACAAATTTGTCCATTAGTTTTTAGAACGTGCTAAACTTTGCGGATACCAAGGATATCTTACTGAACACTTACAAGCTTCCTTAAATATATACTCATATCAAATAATATTTTCTCATCATCGGTCTACTTTCCTTATTTTCACCCTGGCTAATTTTGACAGCTTTAACCCTTCATAAATTTCATCTTTACATAATCAAGGACATTTTTTGTAATTTCAACTATTCTTCTTTGCACAACAATAGCTGAGACATAAGTCATTCAATAAGAACTCACTTTCATTTCAACCGATTTAACTCATACAATAATGAAGAAAAAAAAGAGAGGAAAAATCAAACAGAAATGAAGGAGAAATAACGGAAGGAACCTAAATTCATGGCGTTTAGTGCTTTGGGACGATCGAGAGTAATGATTGCAACGCCGTTGGGATAAACATTTCCCTTAACAAAAGCTTCAGCTTCAGCCATGGTGAATAGCTTTCGAATTCGAATCACTGCAGGCAAAGAACCACCGATAAAGTAGGGTTTTTCGGTAACAAGAATAGTGTAGTCTTCAATGATGATACGGTGGCGGAGTTTGTGTAATCTACTTATCTTGGTGTAATTGGGCCGGGCCGGTTGAAATCTCTTGATGTATTGTAGTACGAGTTTGGTTCAAAGATTAGACCGTTTATGCTGCGTAACATAATTTATTCAAAGATCATTAAAAGGTCGGTTCATAGTATCTTTCCTTTTGTGAAGATTTAATTATTCGTTATCGCTGTCTTGATAGAATATACAAGATGTCCGTTTCCTCTTGAGGAATGTAAGAAATGTAATGAACAACAACCTCACGAGAATTAAGCAAATGCATTCGTGCTTGCCAGCCTTGATTCAGACCGTGTAATAGTGTTAAAAGTCGAATGCCTTGTTCGACATCTTCTAAGGTAATAGAGCAGTGTTCGCCGGCGTTTATACAGCCCTAAGATCAAGGTTCTCCGTGGCATTAACTAGACCTCCAGTCATATCCTTGGGTTGTTTCTTTCCTTATTACGGCTTCTAAACTGTGCAACAACCATGCAACTTGAATCCATAAAATGAACCGCCCTCGGTTTGGTTGTTCATCTTGATATGGAGGATCCTGTCGAGGTTTTTGAGTTGAAGTTGCTAAGATGGAAAAATTTTCGTTACTCTTCTGCAGAACCCATTATTGTATTTTACATGGCGACCTTCCCTTTGCATTGGTTTCCCCCATTTTTTGTGAAGTGCAAATTATCCAAATATTGTCATTTATAACCGTGGATTGCTTGGACATATAATATCCAGGCTGAAAAAAGCTCGGCTTGTTTAAATTCAGTAATTTCAGAGTTTTCAAACACATACATATTTTTAAGGTAAAACATTGGATCCATTAAAAGTCAATGGCATCCAAGATTACAACATCTTTAATACAATCACATTCTTTAGCAAAACAAAAAAAAAAATCAATCCAAATTAGCTAGATCATATCCTGCTCTATTCGAAACACAATTTGTATACAACACATCCTGTTTGCTAATCAATTATTGCTAATCGATTAACAATGACAATCGCATCGCCATCAAGGATGACCTGCTGCCCCCCATTTTCAACTGCAGAGTGTAAAGCATGCATTGAAGCTGCAGACTCGGGTCACAGCCACAGGGGAAAACATTTTATGAAGCATATCCACGGCCTTGAAAACATTTTCAATTACAGAATAAAACATAAACAGTTGAATAGCCGCTTTAATTCTAATATTTTCATCATCCATCCAAGAACTCAACATTCTAGTTAAAAAAATGCAGCCGCCAACATCCGAGATTGCAATTGAATTCCACAGCCCCTTCTACATTTCAACATTACAAGTGAAGACTAATGTTTAATCTCACCAAATACAGTCATTATCAGATTTTATATAGATTATTATTCTTACAATAGTTAATCCAAATTAAATCAAATTACAATTTGATGGTAACTATATGAATGATGATAATTTTTATTTTAAAAAAATAAAAAAATTAGATAATTGGCGAACAGAAGAGGCCATCAGATAGGAGCGAAAGACTAAAAAGGTTGAATAATCACGGAGATTATCAGCTAAACTATGCATTTTTCAATCAACAACACCAACAATAAAATCTTATTCTTATATGCGATAGGTAAGGGGAGGTAGTATAGTAAATTGTCCTCAACGTCAAGTTAAGAACAATTTCCGTGAAATATCTCCGACAGTGATATAATACAATGCATGTATAAATAAATATACATATAAATACATAATTAAACAGTCTTCTTATTTAGTCTTCATATGTATGTTACATAATAAAAAATAATCCCTATAAATAAATCATTGCATAAAAATCTCAGCATATTGACAGAAACATAAGACTTAATTTAAAAAGAGAAAACTTTAACATTAGTTGTCATTAATCACAATAATACCAATTTCTTCTTCACTGGCAACTACCGAAAACTTTAACATTTCTTATGAAAAAAACCATTGAATTGAATCAGAAAAACAGATCAAAATTAATTTATTCAGCCTCGTAGAGAAGATTAGTCATTTGAACAGGAAATATTTCAGACATATGCTTGTCATTAAAAATATTTAATCATCGGCCGATTTTGAACCAACATCAATAGCTGTAACGATTCAAAACATGTATATATAAAATAATCATAAAATTGAAAAAAGAGAGAAAGAGGGGACTCGGAATTATGGGTGGTGATATACCAGGATGGTCGGCAAAGGCCTTTGAAAACAGCCATTTACGACGAACGAGACCTTTCTGATAGAATCGTCACGGCCCCCGTGATCATTTGCTTCGGAAAAAAAGGACAAGAATATAAATCATAAGCAACGATTGAAATTAAGAGAAAAGATTCGGATTAGACGAGTGGATATCATAAACCCTAGAAAGAAAGCGCAGCTCACAGAAATAGAAGAATAGAGGCAAGGCGTGCACCGTTGAGGTTTATGAGCCACCAAAGTGTACTTTAGTTTTGCGAAACAGAATGCTGCTACTTTAAATGGACCTGAAAGCATCCTGTGTATTTAAATGGGCCTGGACAAGGAAAGAAAAGTCAGGGGAGTAATATAAGAAAGAGTAAACTACACAAATAGTCACCCAATTATAGGATATTACTTGATTAAATCCTTCAACTATTAAAAGTTATAAAATAGTACTTCAAGTATATGGTGTTGCTTTATTGAGTTCCTCGACTATGGTCACTCGACTATTCGTTATGTTCCAAACTCACCCTTTTCCGTTAAAAATTAGTGATTGTCAAAGTTTGACGTTAACATGATGATTAAGATATGATAGTCATTTGAGATTATAAGATCAAATTTAATCATATCATAGTCAGCATGTTAACGTTTGACTCAGAATACAATCAATTTTTTGATAGAAAATGACGAGTTTAGAACATAATGAACAGTCAATTGACCATTTTGTAACTTTTAATAGTAAAAACACTTAATAATGTAATATCCTATAGTCAGGGACCATTTATGTACTTTACCCTAAAAGAAAAATATAACTATTAATCTATAATTACATTTCTACCCATTATAATAAATTATAATTACTTTTATATGATTGATTAGTAAAAATATAATTGAACATAATTTAACCAGAGACGTTGGTTAAAACAATTCTCCTTTTTTTTTGGCAAAGTTAGGAAACGTATCAACACAACGAATAGCTTCAATAATAAAAATAATGTCATTTTACTTAAAAGATTTAGATTCGAATAGTTACGTCTGTAAGGACATATTATATATGTATATTGTAACATTGTGAAAGATTAATTTTTTTTAATATTACTTTATAATCATCTCGAATTATTCAAAAAAAAATATTATCAAAAGTATTTTAAAGAATGTTGAGAATATTTTCATTAAATAAAAACAAACTCAAAATCCTTATCCAAATTTAAAATCATTTATTTATGCTCAAGTTAGAGAGAAAAACAAAAATTAAAAAAAAAACTTAACAAGGCTGATGAAATTATCAAAGCCAACTATTGAAATCATTTTAAAGGATCCAACTGGTCTTGTATTGCTTTAGAACCTTTGGAATTGGAATAATTCCAAAGGACATGATAACAAGCTACAACCCCTATAAATATTGGTCGTTAATGTTGTCTTCCTTCATCACGACTACCTATTGGTCAGGAAGCATGTGTAACACCCTAATCTGATCCAATCCAAAATCTAGAGGATTAGAATGTCACACGGAACCATCGAATTGGCTAACCATTTTTTTTAAAATCAATAACCATAACCATCATTTAAAACCAACAATTCAAATACATTAATATTTTTTTTATAAAATCGGAGCTTCATGACATATAATTAAATGAAATAATACAACTCGAGTTTACAAATCCCAAATACGTATGTAAAGGTCTTATGAATACACATGCCAACTACAATAACCAAACAATACTCTATGAGGATTGCTGGAAGTTCTACTACGACGGTGTTCTTTGAATGGCTCGATATACTAACCTGTGAATGGAAACATCCAAACATCGAGCTTAAAAAGCCTAGTAGTATAATCGCTAATCTAGAGCAACATATGAATCTAATAAACATAAGCATACTAGAAGACATGGTAATAAGCAGTATGTACAAGCGTGATCCTAATCAAGTGCTCCCTACCTAAGGCTCAACAGTTCTACCTCTTTAGTGTTAGTTTCACACTTCTCTTAGTCTTCGTTAAGGGACTTTCCATGAGTAAACATATACTAGGTCTCTAACCTCATTATAATCCATTTATACATCATCATGCAATATACAATGATAGTACCTGATATCACAAATACGCTAGGTACAATCATACAAATAATGGTAGGCATCATGATGTAGTCAAAGGGTCACTTAGCATATCGGGACTCCTACCCATATATCCTACCAAAGGTACCCTAGATAAGACCCAAGTCACTTAGCATCAAAATCTTTATCTAAAAAGACCCTCATTGCCCAGTCACATAGCATCGGAGCCTACGTCATACTATTTTACTCCCTAGAGTACTTGGAACACCTCCGAGTCACACAGTATCAAAGCCTACGTCCTACTAGTAATTGAAGTGTCATCGCACTAACTTGGACATATCCAGATATTCTATACACACAAGACGATCATCACACTACTAAAGTAACTCGAGTGTCCTTGTTGTTCATCAAGTGTCCTTGTTGTTCATCGAGTGTCACACAAAAGCTAGTCTTATGGAATCTTACCTCCTAAGGTTATTATGGTTATCACACGTGTAACATTATTATCAAGTGATTATCTTATAATTGTTATTAATTACGACACCAGTAGGTGAGGTCGTTACCTTAGTCCCTACTACCTTGTTCGTTTTCTCCCCTAGAACATTATGCAAATTATTATGGTATTTTAGTATTTTATTCCCTTAAGGCAATTCATAAACATTTCTACCCACCAGGTATATTATAACTAGCCCAACACTCAATTTGAGTGTAGTTCATTGATAACGACTCCTTAGTCATTCTGATCATATTTCTCATCGGCTTGCCCTTGAATTGGTAGGATAACTTGCAAAGCTTTGATTATAGGTTTCCACGTAGTACTCGTAATCCACTATCACTCTAGTCGCATATTTCATCGTCTCACTCGCTAGTGTATCTTTCGTAATGATCTTTCGTTCATAATAACTCAATATGTGATCTATTAAAGAAACTCAAAAGTATTACGTTTGATACGGTTACTTCAGTTGTAACCCACTCATATAAGTATTTATAGACCCCTTTGGCCATTTACGCTCCTTACGAACTAAGTCATACCATTACAGATCATCCTTCGCTCTTTCAGGACTTAAAGAGGTCAAAATTAACCATCCAAACTAGGTAGTATCGATACTCTACTTGTAGTATCGATAACCTCATGAGTATCGGTACTAAAAATATATTTGAATATTGAAAAATAGGCCCAATATCAATACTGACCTACAATATTGATACTCTCCCTAATAGTATCGATACTCTTCCCTAATTTTTGTCCTAAATTATCTAATATTGATTCTTGAACCCATAACCGTCTTATTTAAGCTCAGGAAAACACCTAAAATCATTCTAAAGGCCATAGTTTGGTTTCTAATCATACAATGAAGCTTTAGGAAGTTATTAAGGGTCTTAAAGTGTCATAAAAACACTTTATTTACATCAACTTCTTCATAGTAAGAATTAAGTAAAACCCCTGAATATGCTCAAACACCCAAATTCCCAACAAGGCATCATGTTTAGGAGTTTCATAACACAACAAATGATTAGAAATACACTACATTTGCTTAGGAATCCGAAATAAAGCTCTTTTCTTTAACTACTCTTGTCTTTTTCTTCTTCACTTGCAAGTAAACACTCTAAACCCATTTTCTCTTGCAAAACAAGAAACCCAAGGCATGAATCCTTAAAACAATGTTGATGAAAGGATTATGGACAAATTTGAAGTATGAGAAAGGTTTAAGAACTTACATTTGAGCTATAGAATATGGAGAGGGAGAAAGATGAAATGAGGAGGAAGAAAAATGAATGATGAAGAATATGAGATGAAATATAAAAGCTCTCATCTTTTAAAATGGGCTAATTACAATTTTCTTCATTCTTATCTTTCTATTATTCAAAAAGATTTTTGCTATGGCTAATTGGACTCAATTCTAAACCAATTAAGCCCCAACGAATTAAATTATGAAATCCAAGGGATCCACATACCTCTCGGGTAACCCAAAACTACTAACCCAAAATTCGGGGTGTTACAACTCTCCCTTCCTTGAAAGAAATTTCGTCCTTGAAATTTTCTTAGATCAACTAACGATTTAATCTTTGATCAAACATTTAGAACCTCAAAGCATCTAAACTCTTATTCGTCTGATCCCCCAAGAAGAAGTCCTCGCAACACGACATGGAATCTTGAACTCGTAAATTCAACCTGTGATATTTTAAAAGAAACTATCTGCGTCGAACCTTAATCAATAATCCTTAGAGAGGCCCAAGGCCAATGAAACTTTTTCTTGTTGTCTAATAATGAGTGCTTGAGACATTTCATAAGGACAACGTTATTCCACAATTCAACTATTATCATATAACTCTTTATTGGCTAACATTACTTGATCGGGTTAGTATACTGCACAATCTTATAAAATCTCTTTTACTTGTTAAACTTAGGTATCTCGATATACTACCCGTCGAGATCCTATTAACACTTTCCATACAAGGCCTCATTATCGGTTATCGAAGATATGATGACAATTCTTGACTTTTAACATTGATCTCTACACTTCTGCTTTGCGACTCTAATTCAATATTCATCTATGCTACCCTATTGATCCCTATTTTCCTTACAGTTCACGCACATGCCAAACACTGGACCGTGTATTTAAAGTAACTATGACTGAGAATCGATTACTTACTGAACGAACTAGCCATCTCTGGTCCTCCTATAGAACACGCAACACATACTCAAGTGGAACATATACTCCTAAACCTCAGTCATATCCTTGAATAGCCACTTAGATGATCTCTTTCGTGGAACCACTCAAGTGGATGATTCAATCAACAAACGTCTCCTTAGAGTCGATCCTCAACCTCATAAGAACCGATCAATAGTTCTCTATACCTCGAGACTCGTAACTCACCATTTTTCCCATAATACCCTTATTACATAAAATGAGATTCAAAACTGCTGCACTAAAACATGCATTCAGCTAACTTACTCCATGTGAATATAAGGGGCATTTCTGCCCAGTTAGTAATTGAAATTCCTTGGCACTAGCTGAGTTAAATCTTGATATTTTCTGGCAAACACGATGATTGCTATATTGGTCTAAGTAATTTGGATGTGCTTAGCACCCTCATGGAAATATCTGCCTCGAAGGTTGAACTTGGTGTTACTACAACTCTATATGATCGATCACATGAACCCTCAACTAACAATGCCAAAAACATCCTTATAGCCTCGCATATGACTTGACAGCCCATAGTGACGCTCTCCTCTAGTCTCAAAACTCTGAGGTACAAGCAACTCGACTACCGAGCCTGATCCAACCACTCGAAGAAGATCTAAGATAACCTTGTCTGCTAGTATAACATAAATAACTGAAATTGCTAAAAATATACTTGACATCCCATCTACATCAACAATATTCTTTCTAGGTCTCGTAGAATCTGAAAAATTGAAACACATGTAGTTAAAACAGAAATCAGGCTAAACTATTTAGATGCTTACTTACCGGAGCCACACACTGACTCCTCTCTAAACATACTCTCTACCCTACTAAGCTACTAGAATCACTCTTTAATTTAGGGTAGTCCCTCACAAAAGCTCTATTGATCCACCTTTAAAACACATCCTAAAGAGTCTTAGGCATTTTCCTCGATGCCTCATCCCACAATGCACATACTCCATATACGAAAACACTCCATCGGAACATTTCTTGCTTGCCCAAGTGGTGAAGTTAGCAATTTCCACTAAGACCCTACTTCAGGCCTCTAACTCGATAGATACGACTAAACTAATGTTACCCTCATTTGCTCATAAGGATCTCTAGCTCTCCTGGCCACTTGATTAAGACAGGTTTACTAATACCAAAGTCCCCCTATTCAGCCTATCGCTATCGTCTAGCTCATCCTTATTCTTATACCCCTTTCATGGTTTTAACCTATCATGTTAATTCAAAGAATACTCTAGGCGGGTGTTTCTCCATTTCACATGAATACTTATATGATGCCCTTCAAGGGACCTTCTTCACCTTAAGAACTCAATTGAAACCAATTCTAAAGTATATAAAGTTAACCAAAGAAAACCTCTCTTGTACTAAGCATCGTACAATCTCCTTAACCAGTTAGAAGGGCTACATATTCAAGATGTCTTTATATGCTTTGCTGATATATTGTCCCTACACTCACTTAGAGACAGATACCACGCATGTATCTCAGGATATAGGGATACCTCTACCAGTCGATAACGTCATATTTGAGCAACACAATGACACATTCAAGCCTATCCTCGAATGTAAGATGAAGCTACCTCAAAATTCTCATGGTTCCTCCCAACCCCTGATCGATTAGAATTGAGTCATTATCAGCTAAACCATATAATTTCAAGGTCTTAACCCACCTTAGCCCCTATACCAAATACTTTATCAATGTTATCATACTCAGTGCAGGCAGTTGAGCAATCGGTGCTTTATGAAAACATCCATTACCTCCTAGAGCGCGGAAGTAAATCCTTTAAAGAAGGTAATTTTAATGACGCTCACCAACATCGAAACCTTACGATCCTCTACCCTAGGTAGGAACTTATCGCTAAAGATTACCTGGATTAGTGACATGACTTTCCATCATGTCATCGAGACTACACTCGGAAACCAACACTATCACCACTTTCGTAAACACGGTCACAAAGAATAAATATCATCAGGATTCAAGTCTTAAAAGAGTACTTTCAGTATCTAGAGGCATGTATTCACTGACACCTTACTACATCCGAAAATTGGGTCCTAGAATTGACTCAACCTGACGCTATAATACCACTAAATGTAACACCCTAATCTGATCTGACCCGAAATCCAGAAGATTAGAATGTAACATGGAACCACCAAAGTGACTAACCATTTATTTAAAATCAATAACCATAACCATAATTTAAAATCATCAATTCAAATATAGTAATAAAATACTTTTTATAAAATCGAAGCTCCATGACACATAATTTAAATGAAATAATACAATTCAAGTTTACAAATCCTAAATACATAATTAAAGGTCATATGAATACACATGTCAACTATAAGTAACCAAACAGTACTCTGTGAGGATTACTGAAAGTCTTGCTATGACGGTGCTCCTCGAACGGCTTGATATATTAACATGCAAACAGAAACATGTAAACATTGAGCTTACAAAGCCCAATAGTATAATCGCTAATCCAGAATCGGATATGAATCTCATAAACATAATCATGCTAGAAGACATTCTAATAAGTAATAGGTACAATCATGATCTAATAAAGTGCTCTCTACCTAAGGCTCAATAATTTTACCTCTTTAGTGTTAGTTTCACGCTTCTCTTAGTCTCTATTAATGGTTTTGGCATGAGTAAACATATACTAAGTCTCCAACTTTAGTATCATCCTGCTATGCATCATCATGCAATACACAATGATACTACCCGATATCACAAAGACGTCAGGTACAATTATATAAACAATGGTAGGCATCATGGTGTAGTCGGAGGGTCACTTAGCATATCGGGGACTCCCACCCCTCAATCATACCAAAGGTACCCTAGATAACACTTGTGTCACTTAGAATCAAAATATTCATTTATAAAGGCCTTTATTGCCCAATACCTAGGATTCCTCCAGGTCATATAGTATCAGAGCCTAAGCCCTGCTAGTTTACTACTTAGAGTACTTGGAATGCCTTTGAGTCACACAACATCAGAGCATATTTCCTACTAGTAATTAAAGTGTCATTGCAATGGCTTGGACATATCCATATATTCTATACACACAAGACGGTTGTCACACTACTAAAGTAACACGAGTGTCCTTGTTATTCCCCGAGCATCACACAAAGACTAGTCTTATGAAATCTTACCTCATAAGGTTATTATGGTTATTACATGTGTAAAATTATTATCAAGTGGTTATCTTATCATTATTATTAATTACGAAACTAGTAGGTGAGGTCTTTAGCTCACTCTCTACTACCTTGTTCGTTCTCTCCTCTATAAGAGATTAATGGTACTTTAGTATTTTGTGCCTTTAAGGCAATTCGTAAACATTGCTACCCACTAGGTATATTATAAATAGCCCAAAAATTGATTCGAGTGTAGTTGTATTACCTTCAAATTTTGGATAGTGACCAAAACATAAAATTTTAAAGTATGGTGACCAAATTATAAAGTTAGAAAAGTTCAAGGACCAAAACAGTAATTTTAAAAAATTTAGGTAATCTAAACTCGTAAATAAATACTTCACACGTAAGTGTGGGGTTTCATGGGAATCAGATTTTGGATCTATAATTTATGTTAAAACCTATAAATTGTTAAAGATTGGTAAAAATTTGTTAAATCGGATCGAATAACAATTTTGGAAAAAAATTGAAGGTTATTAAATCAAGCTTAAAAATATTATTTAAACATGTTAAAATAATGGAAAATAATACGGATCATTGGATTTGAGAAATTATTGCCAATTTTAATTTGGATTGTTGGATGAAAAATGGCAAGATTTAAATTTTGGAAAGATTGCATAGGCAAAGTTGGAAAGGGTAAATTAACTGGTTCATGTTAGACTTTATAAAGATAATAAGGTTTATTTGGCTTGGTATTAAGGTAAATATCAAGTTTCATTAAGGGTAAAAAAATAGACATTTCTCATTAAATAAATATTATATTCATTTAAGCTTAAATAAATGCCAAATTAACATGAAATTAAAGGAATCTTTCATGAAACCAATCTATTTTCGGCTCCATTTCACGCTCCCCCATACCTAGGTAAGAGAAAATTAATTTTTCAATTTTGAAAAATATCTTTTGGATTTTAGATCGAGTTGTGAACTAGAAATTTGAAAAAAGCTATCATTTGGTACCATTATTGCATGCTAATTTGGTTTGTGTTCAAAGATCTCAAATTCTAGATTTTATGTTCATATTAGGGTTTCATGATTTGATGAAGTATTTAGATGTTTTTGAGGTTGTAGAATTATTTCCAAGCATGATTGATGAATAAAATCAAATATAAATGACTATATATGTTAATATAAGTTTTGGCCTAACCCTAGCTTATGGTAAAAGATGTGTTTTGATGAAATTAATTTATGGGTTTGATTGTAGAGGGCTTAAAATGTTGAATAGACGTTGATTTCATACTTGAATCAAGTGAAAATCATAACATTCACACCCCTAAAGCATTCAACCTTGTAGGAAATATTGGGGAAAAATTGTAGAAAGTTCTCATGGCTTATAACTGCTATTTGTAAGGTCCTACAAGCCTTACAAATTTTCGTAGGTCATTTTGTAATTTTTCAAAAGTTGGGAGACCATTTCGACAATTTTGAAAATTTATAGGATGATTGTGTAATTACTCAATAATTGATGTATATTGCTGAAATTTACTATTTGAGGGCTGAAATTGAAATTAAAATGTGAAATTAATCCATTTTGGGATATTGGCAAAGTTTAAATATAAAATGGTAAATATTGAGAAAGTTAGTGGCTTAAGTGGTAATTATGGTATTTTTGAGAGATTGGGCTGGAAATTTAATGTTGAAAATTTATTGGGCTTAGTTGGGCCTTGAATTGAAGGAAATCACGACAATAACCATAATGTGTAAAAAGTAAAATTTAAGATGAATTTTAGAAGAACTCGTAAATAATAATACTTTTGGGTATTATTATCATGTATAAAATGTTAGTAAGAGTAAAAACATGTCTTTTATATTTGTATGTGCTTGTAAGGATGCTTGTGTAGATCGTGATAAAAAATGTGATACAAACAAAGTTTAAGGCAAGGAAAAAGCCCAAGAGTAATCGAATATTAACAGTAAGGCATAATAGCGAGGCATACCATGTGAGTGCATTTATTATGTACTTATATGATATGAGGACGACTTACGATGAGTCAACCTCGAGTGTTTTTATTAAATATGTTTTGAATGTATTTTGATATATAAATATTTTCATAAAGTTTATGAAAATGATTTTACGGATGATTTTAGGGTATGAACTGCCCTAAAACGAATGGATGTGTTTCATACAAATTATCATTTATTGATGGTTTGGAATAAATGTTTAATATGCGCTTTAGATTTTAAAGCCTATTGTATGTACATTGAGAGTCATAGGTACAATTGTAATACCATAAATAAGGTGGTATTGTAGTATACTTTGTGTACCGAATCACTATGTATGTAATTGGCATACTTGGTGTATGATGGTGTTGTAATACCATAAATAAGGTGGTATTGTAGTAGTACTTTGTCTACTGAAACACTATGTATGTAATTGGCATACTTGGTGTATGATGGTAGTCGTACAGGATTACTACTCCAAAAATGGTTAGTATGGTGTTATTGTGTACCATAGTACCTATATGTCATTGTGGAACTTAGGTGCTCATTGTGTACCTTGCATTCTCATTTGTCATACATTGGGTTGTGAATAAATATTTTGAAATATTCTAATTGATAAGTATGCTAGGCATTCAAAATAATGTTTCGCAGGTTATTTGATGGAAACTTGGCTTATCAAGTCAATTTTATGTGTTAATATACTTTATACGATTAAACTCGTATTTTGATCTTTTATGAAATATTTATGTTTTAATATGCCTCATTTATTATATTATTCCTCACTAAGTGTATATTTAGTGTGTGATGATTTTCACGCGCAGGTAATAGCGTATGATCAAAGTGAGGGGTACAACCGACATCATCTGTCTAGGATTGCTTTATCAGTAATAATATGACATCTCTAGATGTT